AGTTATTCTATGATTCAAAAATGACCCCTGAGTTATGGAATTCCCTTCTAAATGAGGCTAGATTGATCCTGCTGTCTCCACCCATGTGCTTAGGCAGGATTTTGGCCACTGATGAGGAAGGCCTTTTAATGTTGGATATGTTCTTTTTGTTGTTCTTTAGATTGTTTGAAACATATAATAATTTTGTTTTTGTTTGAATGTGAAGCTTTATTTAGCAGTGTATAATATTGTGACTCGTGTTTTTAGCTGTATTCTAAAACAACATTATTTTATAACCCCTCTTGGGTCCTGTAGAGAAGAAAGATGGGGTGCAAACTACCGTATTTTTCGCTCCATAAGACGCACCTTTCCATAAGACGCACCAATTTTTAGGAGAAGAAAACAGGAAAATATAATCTGTTTTCTTCACTCCATAAGACGCACAGACTTTCCACCCCCCTGTTTTGTGGGAAAAAAGTGCATCTCATAGTGCAAAAAATGCGGTAAATCAACACATAAAAGGAAATACAGTAAATGAAAGGGAAGTAAAGCCAAGTAGTCTCCCCTACCCCACACTCCTATCTTGATGAGTGCAAAATCCACAAAAAGATGATAGAATTCTACAAGGACAACACAACTGTATTTTAAGGCTATAAACCACTTTGGGCCTTGAAAGACTTTTCATCACTGCACAATGTGGCATTCTGGATATCATGGGTTAAACCAATGGTTTAGACCATTATTCTGTAGTGCCAACTGAAGAATCACCATATATCAGTCAACTGTAACCAACAAGTAGAAGACAGTGGCGCTATATATGAACCATGTCAAAGTATCTGTGGAGTAGGTCTGCATCTGGATATTGAAAGGTAGCTCTTGATACTGGATTATGCATGCATGGAATAGATTTTCTCTAGTGCTGTGACAATTAGTTCAGAATTTTCTGAAGTAGGTTAAAAATTCTTTAATGAGAAGTGGATACATTAAGAGGAAGCAGCATCCTCATTGTGTACAAGAGGTCATTCATAAGCAATACCACAAGAGCTACAGAATAGGAAATTTCTTAGTCCAACTCTCAATTTAAAACAAACAAACCACTGGTTTAACTGTAATTTCTCTAACTTCTCATGACATTGCACTAATTTCTCCATACTCTTTTAATTTCACATCAAGACAAACATTGTTGCCATCTCTGATCCTTATGGAAGCAGAACAAGAAAGGGACTGAGTATTTATGTGTGGTCTGTAGGGTTTTTAACATGTAAGCCACCCAGAGTAGTGCTTATACTTATGGGGTGGTATATAAAGGAAATGAATGAATGAAATGAAATGAATGAATGAATGATGGCAAGGAAGAGAGAAAGATGCTGAATGAGCCATGTGAATATAGATAAAAATCACCATTTTCTTCCTAACTGCCAAGAATCTGATAAAGAAGGGAAATACTATGTGGTATTCTGAGCTTGGAAATATTAATTTAGTTCAGGAGGAGAGGCTAGAGAGTAATAATCAAAATATTATTTTGAGACAAGATGCATTCCTTCTGTTTAATGTACAAGTGGCTATTTTCAAATTAATGTGTTAAATTATTATGCTGGTTGTCTTGTTCTGGGTAGGAAATACAGCAGAGAGTGGGTGGACTAAGAAGAACATCCTTAGCCACAGCATGGAAGAACATGCTAATTTACTGTCACGGCACATCTGGTCTTCTCCTTGTTGTTCTTAAATATCAGTATCATCCATCCTCATTCTAGCCTCTTCATATTATTTATACTTCATTAAATGTGTTGTACATGAAGACAGTTAGCTAAAAATACATGGCCATAATACTTCTACATCTCATGTGCATGACAAATCCAGAATATGGTTTTATGTTCTTGTTATCTTCAAAGAAGTGATAGCAGGTAAACGTTACCACAGCAGGAGGTGTATTTAGAAAGGAGCATATCAAAACACTTATGAAAAGCTGACTTCATTTGAAAGTTGGTCGAGTGGAATAGCTGACAGCATGAGATGTGACCTTATGTGCTAGGATTACGGTTCAGATCTTACTGTTACAAGACAGTGCACTTGCATGGCTTCTTCCACTAGTGAAAAACAGGCTAAGAAGGACCTGCCACCCAAAATATAATTCTATTTCTTTAAAACTCTGCACAGCTAAGTTGTATAGATCATTACTAATAATGGAAGAAGATCACAAATAAAGAATCAAAAGAAGTATTTCCCACAATCAACAGGGGCAAATTTACTTTTCAAAACAGCAGATAATAATAAGTCTATATATGTTAATCTAAAGATAAAGCCACCCCATTGTTCCTGAAAAATAGGATCAGAAATCTCTATTGAATTGCATGATTAAATAATTTGGTTACTTCTCTACACATTCATCCAGTGATCCTCAACAGCTGAAACAAATTCTCCTGGTCATGTTGGCTGTCTCACTTGTAGATAATTAAAAAACTAACCGGTGTGATTTTGATTCATAATATGCTTCTCCAGATTAAAAATGAAATACAGTGGTGCCTCGCTTAACGATTGCTTCGTATAATGAAAAATTCACTTAACGATGGCTTTTTCGGAGTGATCTTGTGCTTCACTTAACGATTTTCCCTATGGGCGATTTTCGCTTAACGATTTTGGGACCATGCTTCACTTAACGATGACAGTTTTAGGTCCCCTTGTTTCGCTTAACGTTTTTTTTACAGCCCCATTTTTGCTATTTTTAAAATATTCTAAAATGTTTAAAAATGTTTAAAATGCTTGGAATCGTTAATGCACCTAATAAATTCTGGTTAATGCACCTAATAAAACCGTCATTAACTTAATTTGGCTTTGTTCTGAGTCTTTTTGAATTTTTTGTGAATTTTTCCCCCCATTGAAATAGGCTTCAATGCATTTCAATGGGTTTCGCTTAACGTTTTTTCCTATGGGGATTTTCGCTTAAGGATGGTAATCCGTTCCAATTGGAACGGATTATCCGGTTTTCAATGCATCTCTATGGGAAATGGTGTTTCGCTTAACAATGTTTTCACATAACGATGTTTTTTTTGGAACCAATTAAAATCGTTAAGCGAGGCACCACTGTATGTGATCGAATGAAAAGTGGGTGAAGGGGAAAAGAAAAGAACGATATTTTATATGGAAGACGGAGAGGTGGTTTGAGAAGAAATAATGGCAACAGAGAAGGAAGGACACACACCATGAAGTCAAAGGACTTTCCTGTATATTCCAGTCATTGTGGTGGGTCTCTGAGTGAGGTCACTGGGCCACATCTCCCTTGCAGCTGGCTTTTGTGTGTGTGTGCCATTGGGTTAACTGCTAGCTGAAGGGTAGTACTGGCAGCATATATATGCTCATAAGCACAGTGCCTAAACTCTGACCCAAACAATCACTTTCCCAAACTCTGTTTTTTCTAAAACCTTGTGTCTCTGTGTGTGCTTGCATGCACAGACATATGTACATAATGGTTGTTTGCATTCCTGCATGGGTTTTGAGTAATTGGTGCAGAACCTCTGCTTTGTCATGTTGAAGTCAGTCTTTTGTTTCATTTCCCCTTTGGTTTCTTTTTGGGGCATGGTTTTATGCTATACCAGTGCCAAAGTTCCTGAAATACAACTGTGATGGACAGGTCAGTAACCACTCCTGTGGAACCCTGATGTAACAACCAGTGGTTGAACAGAAGGGGCGGAACTAAGGAAATATAAAAAGAATGGAAGACGGTTAAAGATCAGTTAGGGATATGAGTTAGAGTTAGGGACTTCAGTTAGGGACTTCAGTTAGGGATATCAGTTGGATAGAAGCAGTTTAGGTACTTAGGACCAGAAATGTGTTAGAGAAAAGTAATAGAGAGCTAGAGAATAAGAGATTAATAAAAACCGTGATTAAAATGATTCTTCATAAGCAAATATAAATGTTATCAAAACACAGTTTATGGAATGAATAAAATAAGACCATCCATGATTCACTTTATATGATTTACATATAAGCACACAAATAAACATTGTTTTATTGTATAACTGTGATTTAAGAGTCATTTTTGAGAGAGTGAGGAATAAATCCTCTGGTGGCAGCGAAAAGGGTTGAAAAGTAAATGTCATACCCGAAAGTGAACCTGGGTTGTGTGGAAGAACAAACAGGGGAACTGGGTGTGTGTGACAACAACACTCCTACCTCATATCCTATGTAACATAAATACCTCATGTTGAAATTAAAAAAAGGAACTTTGTAGCTCCAGGAAAAGTCCTTCTCCAATGGTTCTTTGGATTCATATTAGCAATGCCACAGAACAGTTCGTCCTTATCTCTAAAGTGTTGTTTTCTTCTGTTTTACAAAATACAACTGCATGTTGACAGCCCGACTATTATTCTGCCTCCTCTACAGTGTCCTGGATTTGCTTCATTCCCAGCCACAGTAGAGTAGCCATTGCGAATCATAACTGTTAAAATAAATGGTGGCAAACACTGGAGGACATTCTACACAAGACATGGAGGGATGAGGGGGAAAAAAGTTTAGACATTTCCCCTGAAATTTTATGCAGAGATGTGCCTTCTTAGAAATTTTTGCCTCAACTCTAAAGCACAGCCACCATACAAAGTACTGGGCTGGATGGAAAAAGTAGTTATGTTGTACTTTGCAATTAACTGGATAAGTTAGAAGTTAAGATGTCATATTGAGACACAAGTGCATTACATATCTCATGCAGAGGCTGAGTGGCAGGAGACAAGACTACTAGAAAGAAGGCAGTTTTTATTTGGATGAAGCTCTGGAGCTTACAGATGCTTCCACTAATTTATTTTATCCAAGACACTAGCAGTTTTCTCATGGCACTCAATCCTAGGATTACTCATAGATAGCAAAGTAACACATTATGTATTTCCAGCTACCCTGAAAGCTTAGATTAAGCTTTGCAACAAGAGTCTGCGCTTTGTTTAAGTGCCAGACTAATTATCCAACAGGGACAGGAGACACCCTTGTCTTTGCAAAACAACCTCGAAGTTCAGCCACATAGTAGGCCTCCGTTCTTGTATCTTGCTTTTTGAATAATACTTCATTTTCCAATAAGGGAAACATATATTTGTGCTTTGATTCAATATGTCTGTGTCAGGTGGCTCATCCAACCAGTTTCCAGCAGGACAGATAAGAAAGATCTCCAAGTTTCTTTCAGGTGTACCACGGGAGAATTCATTCTGTATTTCCCATTACTGACTTGACTGTCATCTTTTCTTATGTATGTAAGAAAGGGTGATCTCAGCTGTATGAACACACACAAAAAGGGAAGACAAGTTTATAGTCATCGTTGGGTTCCAAAGGATCAGCATCTGATGGAGGTGAATTTAATGCAAAATACAATTGAAGAAAACAGTTTTGAACTCAATAGAGAGAGGCTCCTGAGGGCTCCACAGAAGCAATACAATTCTCAAAGGCAAATTTCCTTTGAGGACTAGAGGCACAGATATCTCAGATCTTCCCTGGGATTTCAGGAAATCACAATTCTACTTTCCATTGTAGCTTGTCTGCCCCAGTTTCAGGGGACATGGATTTTCATATTGCCAAGCTTTGTTGAATCTGCAAAACTCTATGACTGAAAGCTGTGAGGATCCCTTACCTAGAAACTCCTTACCTTTGTATGTGAGCTGCAGCTTCTCTGCACTTATTAAGGAAACATACTTCGCACATGCTCAAATCACACCACTTTGCTGTTATTTGAAGAAGTCCCAGATGATGATGATGCATTCAGAGGCACATTTATTTATTTATTTATTTGATTTGACTTGTATACTGACCATCTAAAGGTAAAGGTAAAGGTTCCCCTTGACAATTTTTGTCCAGTCGTGTTCGACTCTAGGGGGCGGTACTCATCCCCATTTCCAAGCCATAGAGCCAGCGTTTTGTCCAAAGACAATCTTCCGTGGTCACATGGCCAGTGCGACTTAGACACGGAACGCTGTTACCTTCCCGCCGAGGTGGTTCCTATTTATCTACTTGCATTTGCATGCTTTCGAACCGCTAGGTTGGCGGGAGCTGGGACAAGCGACGGGAGCTCACTCCATTGTGTGGATTCGATCTTACGACTGCTCGTCTTCTGACCCTGCAGCACAGGCTTGACTTGTATACTGACCCTCTAACTAGTGGTTATTCTGGGCAGTTTGCAAAAATCACAAGACATAAAAACAACATAATCAAACACATTAAATAAATTAAATACATCAAAGAAATATTAAACAAATTAAAAATGGGTGGCAGTTGAATGAAAGGCTGAAAGTCAGCACATTCTTAGATTGGCAGATGTTGAAAGGCCTGATGATACAGATGTGGTTTTAGCAGTTTCTTGAAAGATGACAAGGAGGGGCCAGGTAAATAGGGGAAAAACCTGCATAATATTCAGAACTGTTTCAAATTCAGAAGAGCAAAGTATTGGGGATATTAAGAGGTGCATTTTCTTTGTAGATGTTTGCAGATGTTTCTGCTAATGGGGAAGCAGAACGAACTATTTTTGTATTCAGTGCCAGTTTTGAGGAAAGGTGTGCTATATGAATCAGGCATGTGTGGAAGCCCCATGACCCAGTCTTTAAAGGATACAGCGATCATGGGCAATTCAACCTGTACCCTTTAGGTAGGAGACATTTCAACCTACTGATTATCCACGTTGTTGAAAAATGTAACAACTCAGCATGCTATGTATGGACCAAATACTAATCCAGTTGGTCACATAATCCTTTTAGAAGAGAAAACGTCCGTAGGATAACTTACTTGTTTGTTCACTTGCTCCTAAGCAACCAATCAACAGTTCTCTTTCCTTCCTGCCACCAGGTGCTTAACCTTCTGCACTCTGAGGCATTTTTTATATAGTTCTTGTTCTTTATCCTCCATCTTGTGAGGCAGACATTATGTTGAGCTTTCTCCTCAGTCCTGAGTTTGAGAGAGAGGAAAAAAACTATTACCCACCATTTGAAACAAACTAAATGATTCTTCTTTTTCTTACTAATGACCCTTTGTCTTCCTGTCAAACAAATGGGGAAATGCAGAGACTGAGTTGGGAGGGGGGCTACGCAGTTTTGGGAACATAAAATACATACATACTGGTTTACTGTTCTGTATTGGGGCATGTGTATCCTCAGGTGTGGGGTCCAGCCATCTGTAGTATTACATTTGCTTTTGGGCCGAGAAGGGAAGAGTTAGCCATGTTTTTACCATCTCGCTCCCTCCAGTCCTTCTTCCCTGACTCTCACCCTTCCACAAATCTCATGGATGGAAAGCTGAAGGAAAGCCCAATAGATTAAAGAAGACATATATTTTCTTAGACATCTTAGGACCAGCAAGGAGTGGTATTTGCAGCACTGCAACAATTAAAAATGGTAAAAAAAAACTTGGTCACAGAAGAGAGTGGTAACTCTTAATTGCTTTGATCTAGACATTCAAAACCCATACAGGAAACATCCTTCCACAATTACAGATGCACTCAGTCCTAATAGTGTAATAAATAACATTTAAGAAACTAAGAGGGAAACAAAAGAAAAAAGGAGTATTCCTGAATTCAAGGGGTAATGTATACAGTGATGGATTTCCTCACTTTGTCCAGCAGCTGTGCAAAATGACTTGTGAGACACACACACACACACACACAAACACACACACACACACAAACAACACACAAACAAATTAAGAGAGTGAGAGAGAAGCATAGGACTTGGGCTTTCTTGAAGGATTCAGCTGTCACCCACCTTCTCTGGTATAAGCAGTTCAATTTATTGATTTTGTATATATTTTCAATTCTCCTTTTCCTCAGTTCAAAATCCTAAGCTTCTTTCGAAAGTTTGTCAGACAGAAAACAAAGGATCCGTAGGTGTATATGGGCAACAAGAGGATTTTTGTTGTGCCCTGTAGTTGTACAAATTGTACAGGATTGTTCAAATACTCCTTATTTGGCCTGGGTTTATAGATTTGTACAAGTGCACATCTCTATTATAAACCAAATAAATCAATTCATATTCACCCTGCAGGAAAATTTCCACAAAGTTTGCTCCAACAGGAGAGTGGAACTGTCAAAATGCATAGTATTCAACATCTGTCGGCAGGTGGAAAGAGATCCTTATACAAAGCAGTGGAACTGGCCTTACCATTAATTATACAGAGGCATCTGTCTCAATATACTTATAATTAAGTATTATTATTATTATTAATTATTTAATAATGATTATTAATTATTATTATTAAAGGATAGGAAATGGTTAGCTGTGGGAAACTTCTGCTTAAAGGTTGTAGCTGCATTCTGTTCCAGTGACGTGCATGCACTCCTGGCAGGAAGCAGCAGCTGCCAGCAGGCGGGGTCACCCTTTCTTCTGCCCTTTTGCTTAGAGGTAGAGCAACTAGTTGCAATTAGGTAACTAGTATCCTATCTGTCTCTCTGACAACATACTATGTAAATCATTCTAAGTAAATAAAAGAGCTCTCGGGGCATTGCCTGTAGGCTCCACTGGCTCAGACATCTTCTGTTGACTCCTTTCTTCTCTCTAAGGCAATTAGCCTTCCTTTGTTCCGTGATCACCTACAGTTAGCATTTAACTATGTTTTTACAGTTTTACTGCCAGAGATAGGGAAAGTACTTATGAGATTTTAGGTCTGAGGTCCCAGAAAAATTGGTTGCTCTTGGCACTGTCTTACCTTATCATTTCCTGTCTTACCTTAAGCAACAAAATGTTGGGGTGTGGGGGCTGCTAAGCAGAGATGCTTTTTGAATTTCAGCCACTCTGCCATAAAACAGAGCTCACACTCCAAGAATATGATTGAAATGGTGAGGCTAGCAGGCACAAATATATTGCTCCTTTCTAGAGGGTTATATATCTTGATAGCTTCTGTATATCTCCAACAGTAGTGCTTGCAGTGAGTAAGGGTGCTTTGTAAAAATGTCCCTTATGAAATGAACAGCCAAAAGCCTTGACTTTATTTTGTGGCCTGTTGACCTAGCCCATCAATTTTGTTTTATCCAGCAGTGATTTGCGACCACCCGTGTCAATTCTACAACGAACAATGGATGTGTAAAGAAAACAATATTAATACAGTATCTGGCTGTGCATCTGCATAAAAAGGAGCAGGTAAAGCATTTTTTTGTGTAAAATAATACCTCCTTCCATATAAGGAAGGTAAGAACATTATTTTGTTTTTGATAAGAATTTACCAAAATGTGCATATTTCTTCATATTCAGGATTTTAAAAAAACTTGGTGTGTGTGTGTGTTTGTGTGTTTTCTAAGTGAATATGGGGCAACATGAAATCAACAAATTAGCCCATAAAGGCAAAGAATTAAACTTGAACAGTCTGACAGTCAGTTATCTTACTGCTGAATTAAAAGTTGTCACCACTGATATCTCAGATGTGTATGTCCTTTAACAGCAGTATACCACAGAAATGGGGACTCAAGTTGCAGGACCCATTGTCAAATTGGACTTAAGTCACACCAGTGACTCCACTTGCACTCAACTCAGGTTTGTTTATTGTTGTTGTTTTTTGAATGACTCAGACTTGAGTTGAGACTTAAAACCCACCCACCTCTCCCATTTTTCTAGGAAAAATACTTCTTGTAAATAGGAGACTTGGATTTGGGGTTTAGGACATGGGACTTGGTACCAAAGACTCAAGTTTGGACTTGGGACACAAAGACCCAAAGATTCGCCAACATCTCTGGTATACCAGAGCAGATAGATACAACATGGTCTTCTCCATACTGAGAATATTTTTATCTGTTCAATTTGGTTACCATAGATGGGAAAAATCATTTAAATTATCGGGTGGGGGAAAGCAAATTCATAATCTTCATATTGGGAAACAAAAAAAAAGTGAAGCATTTTTCTTTCTTTCCAGAAATATGAAGATGTCAACGTTAGAAATTTTGTGCTTATGGAATGTTAAAATGCAGTAAAGTGGGTATGGAAAAATCAGCCCTGAAAATGAAAGTACATTTAAACTTGAGGTTTGAATATAGTTTACTATACTAATTATAGAACATTTTTAAGTGCACCAAACCAATTATTCATTTGAGCAAGGTCAGTGATTCACAAACATCCTGGCAGCTGAATGTGTTTGTCTTATAGTGAACATCTTATGTTACAATGCGTAAACTGGCAATTTTAAGTCTTATAATGCAAAATTATAAGATTGTAATATTTTGAGTTCACAATAATCTGGTGTTTCAGGAGTTTAAAGTAACAATATTCTAGTGATATAGGATCTTGGTATTATAAAGTCCTGATGTTACAAGGGCTTTATGCTACAGAATCTTATTCTTCCAGGTTCTGCAGAATTTTAGCCATAAGAAAAATGTTATCATAGTGGTAGCCTTGTAGATATCAAGTTGCAAACATCTACAGTCACAAATAATTTCCCATTGAAAAAATATTCTTGGAGTTTCAGACTCCTGGATCTCCATGTTCCTAGAGAAGAGACTGTCTACAGATTGTGGGGAGATGAAAACAATTGGTAAGAATTTTTAAAATGGGAAGATTCACACAGGAGTGTGAATGCAATATTCAAATCAATGATGTTCCACATTACACCACACACCAGATACCAGCAACACTGATATCACCATAGCAGAGCAAGTGAAATTGAACCACAGAGCTTGGGGTAGGAAAAATATAATGAAACAGCTCAGAGGGAAGACACAAAAATTGTAGTGTTTTCCTCCAAAACGTTTAACTGGTACATGACTGGTTGAGAATTCTCACTGTTATTTTTTTTTTACTCTTGAAGATGTGCTCTTGTATTTAGGAAGGATTTTTCAAGCATTTGTGGGTACAGTTTTCTTCATAGTTGTAAGTATTTTGTACTTTACAACTCTGAACTATTTTGTGTATATGTAACATAGTGGCAATGCAGACAAATAAAGCTTGTAGAAATAGGCAAGGTGATGTTGCATGGAATTATTACAGAAATGAAAGGAATTATATACCTTGATACTCAGATGAAATTTGACATGATTGTCAATGATTGTTTTCATTCTGGACTTAGACCTTTGTGGGGGGATGATGACAACTACACAGAACACAGGTTCTGATTTTTCTTTAGAGATTTATAAAATTCTATAGGACCCTTACAGAGGTTCAGTCATCAGTTTATTTCATCTGACAATATGGTGACCCAGCCAGGAGAATCAGATAATCAGATATTCAGATGAAATAATAAAAGAGATATTGTTCTGGGTCTGATCAACATAGGTTTAACCTTACCGTCTGCATGTTGACTCCCATTGAACATAAAATCTATGCACAGTTACTGGAATTGAGAAGGTCTTCTTTTGTGAAATATTCTTAAAAGGGCTACAAGCTAGACAAAGCTGAGTCCTGGACTTATTTAACAGATAAAGACAATTTTGAGAACGAGGTTAAGCTATGAACTTGCCACTGTAACAATGTCTAATTCCTCCCCTAATGGCATGCAAGGAACTTTTTAAGTCCTCTGAGAGAAAGAGAAACACACACATACCTCGACTTGTGAGTGGTGGTGTTGAGAGAGAAGAATTTCTCATCAAAGCAGCTGCAGGAAAATTTGCAACTTTGTCTGGAAAGATACATATATTTTTAAATGGTGGTACAGCATAAGTTCATAGGGACAGAACTGAATTGTGACAGATAAGTAGGTCAGTTTGATTCATATTCAGTAAATCAAACACTTCATATGCAAAAATGTTGATTCTTTCTAAAGAAAAAAGAAAAGAAGATGCTTGAGTATCAATATTTTCTCTAAAGAGAGAAAACAAACTGGGCATGCACATATGTTCTCAAGTGCTTCCATCCACATTTTCATAAAGGACTCAGTTAAGTGAAACTGAACAACTCTTTTACATTGAACTACAGTGGGGTCTCTACTTAAGAACTTAGTCCGTATTGGAAGGTGGTTCTCAAGTTGAAAAGTTCTTATGTTGAATCTGCATTTCCCATAGGAATGCATTGAAAACCATTTAATCCGTATCTGCTCTTTTCCGTCCATAGAAACTACAGTGGAACCTCTACTTAAGAACTTAATCCGTTTTGGAATGGTGTTCTTAAGTTGAAACGTTCTTAAGTTGAAGCAAAATTTCCCATAGGAATGGACTGAAAACCAATTAATCCGTTCTAGCTGTTTTTTTGTTATGTAGAGGCGCATTTGTACATTGAAGCATTAGTTCCCATAGGAACTAATGCAAAGCTGGTTAATACGTACTCTACCACTAGGGGGAGAATTTTTTTTAACCTAAGATGACCTAAGGTTAAAAAAAGAGCAGGAAAGGTTTTTTTTCCTGTTCTTATCTTGGATTTCTGTTCTCAAGTAGAAGCAAAATTTAGCAAATGGAGCTGTTCTTAAGTTGGATTGTTCTTAAGTAGAGACGTTCTTAAGTAGAGACCCCACTGTACATTGCAACTGGAATCCTAACAACTTACAGGACTTTAAGGACATTTTACATTTGACAAGTGGAAGTATATTTTTTTCCAGCAATATTATAAAGGAGCTTATTGCATTTAACTTTCAATTTTTGAAGTTTTGATTTTTTTCCCCTAAGTTTGGAAATCTCACCCATGCCAGTATTTTTTTAATAGCCTAAGTATAACACACCCTTTCCTCTTGCCTTCAGAGTTTTTGTTGTTCTTGTTCTTGTTGTTGGTGTTGTCTTTGTCTCCCCTCCCATTTCTTTTCAGGTTAAAGCAACAAGGAACAGATCCAGATCTTCAACAGAAGACAGATCCAGAGCTAAACAGATCAATGCAGAGCCTGCACAGAGTGATGGAAGAAAGAAAAGTTGAAAGACATTATAGACAGATGATATCTGATGAAAGGCAGTTCAGCTCCAGCACTGGAGGTCATCATCCACTGGACATTTTAACAATGGAGGAGATTTACAAGCAAGATATCTCTGACATTCACCTCTGTCTGTGCGGGACAGAATGTCAAAGTATGAATTTTTGTGTCCATAAGGTGTTAAAATACAGTAAAAAGAGTATGGATAAAGCAGCCTTGAGATTCAGGAATCAGTTTATCTGATCTGACATACAGTTTTCCCATCCATAGCATCTGTTGTCTGTAGTACCTTTCATGATCATAAGTTAGTTTGACAGTTGCTCTGCCTGATAGGAGATGATAAACTAGGTTTTAGAAGGTTTGCCTAAACCCAAGTTGGAAACAGGATTTGCTGTTCCCTTTAGACTAAGTGCCTGAAGAAACTTCATGATAGCCAAAAACGTTTGAGAAGACTAAGACTGGTCTAAACCTTCACATTCCTTGATTAAACTGCAATTTTAAGTGGCTCCAGAAACATCTCTCCAGATGAAATATCTGAGGATTTTCAGTCAGATTAGCATTGGGGGGAAAATGACAAGAATATTGTGGCACCTTAAAGGCAAGCAGAATTGTTTCTGTGCTGTTGAGATAGGCTAGCACAGCTACTTCTTTGAAGACTCAGAATATTTTCTATGACACCATTGTCCAGATTTGGGAGTACAGCTCCCATCATTCCTATTTGCCATTCTGGCTCGTGATGATGCAAGTTCTCATTCCAAACATCTGGACTGACCTACTCCAGGGAAGACTATCACAGATCCCCACCCTCAGTGGCATATTGAGAACCAAGTAGGGGAGAGAGAGAGAAAGAGAGAAAGAGATTGAATCCCTTTATTCTCATTCGGATTTATCAAAAAGACATACTTTGGAGCAGACTTCTTGTTTTATTGTTCAATATTTTCTCCGAGACTATGAGATCTATAAGGAAACCAGCAAAAAGTAGCTTTCTGCTGATCCACTGTAAAAAGAATAATAGATCAAAGGCCAAAGTGGCTGTCAAATAGCAATTTTCCCCTTAGTGTATTATTATATTTTTCTCTTAACCTTCCCCTCCCCCAAATGAGAAATGGAAGAACATGCCTGGAAAAAAAAGAGGGTCAAATGGACGTCTTTCAGGTTTGATAGCAAATAAATAAACAAACTTATTTCCCTGAATATTACGATTTTGTCAGCAGCATTATTTTTCTTCCTCTCCCTTTTTAACCCATGACATAGCAATGATAATGCCAATGTTGGCATAGCATTTACATTTTGAGGGAAAATGTGCTGTTTTCTATCAGAACCTTTCAAAAACAAACAACAAAAGCTAGGTCGTTTACTTGACTTGGTAAACCCTGACTTGATTAGTCTTTAAGTACATTGAAAACTGTATGGGTATAACATCAACAGCAACACACAAGGCTATGGGTATCTAAGCAGGTTTAAAAACAATTAACACGAACCACTGCATTGTTTGGCAGGCTCCATAAAAAAGACAGGAAGCAGCAATGGTGATGTGATTCTTGCTCTTTCGAATTTTAAAATGTTTCATGTTGTTTTAATTCAATACACTTTGTGCTTCATTATTTTAATTTCTTCTGTGAGACAAGGTGGTGCACAATGTTTCAAGATAGCAATGACAAATCTTATGATCAGGGATTATGCCCTGAATGGATTTCTGGAATATTTTTTTACTCCTGCAGGTCTCTGAGGGTCCTGGCCATTGTTATGATCCCAGTTTGGAATCTGATTTAAAAACAACAACAATGAATTAGAGGTGTCCGAGCTCTACTCAGAGGGAGTTGTATCTAATGTATAAGTTGCTTGGGCATGTGGGACATCTTCTTCCTCCTACCATTAGCTGAATGCTTAGAGTTCTGTACTAGGATTAATGACAGTGAGAATGAAATACTCACTAAACAATAACGTTCATTGATTCAATGTCTTCCTTGCAAATTTCCCAGACTTAATAGGGTGTCTGTTGCTAGAAATGGAACATCCAACTAAGTAAACCTTGAAACGCTTTGCCATCTCCTTTTGTATGCTTTCCTTTTCCCTACTCAGATGATTTTTCTTGTGTATTGCCTCTTTAAGAGGCAGGCCCAGAAAATCTCTGGCCTAGCAAGCCATCTGAGAGAAGCAGAAATGAATGCTTTCATTTTGAGGCTGATGGCATCATCAACCTCAAGAAGCTATTGGGATTATCATTGCCACGTCCAGAGCCAGGACAATTGTGGGGCTGTATAGCTATACCAAAAACAAGGAGACAGAAATTCAGTTTGTTTATAATTCTTCAAAAGTCAAATATGGTTGCTCTGTGCTTCAGTGGGTTGTAATTCACAGAAATCAAAGACACTAAGATCAGCGTTGAGATCATGTCCACTGCTGTTTCCCACATACAAAAACTGCACACATGAATGTTCTCAGAGCATCATACATGAATGTTCTCGGAGCATCATACATACGCTTCTATTTTTCAGGATAATTATAATTATTAGAGACTTGGTGAATCATTTTGAAAACACTGTACTTCCCCATGATTATTTTCTGGGCAAGTTCAAAACCTGCAAGACCACAAAAGCCTTGTTTCTCCAAGGAGAGCATCCATTCTGCCAATGGAGCATCTGAACCCAAAAGCCAAGAAGAATCACTGTCAGTACTGTGCATTAAGGATGTAACTAATATTCACTGACCTCCACGGACATGGATAACTTGACATGTCAAAAGACAAATGCTGTGCAAATTTTCACTCCTGCAAAAAAAAAAGCAACAGGATTTTTTTTCAGCAAGAGGATTTACAAAAAACCTAGGTTTTTTTTTAACAAAAAGCTTGTATATTATGTTGTACTTTCTGCACAAAATTCTTATGTAGAACCCCAAAACGCCTTGTAAACACGTTGAAATGTTGAAACGTGACCAAGATTCTCTTGTAATATTACAGAAAGGGAAGAATGAGTGTTTAGTTTATTTTTACCTACAAGAATGAAATAAACAAAGAGGTACTTCCTTAATGTATACCTAGCTTTGTCTTGGGAAAATTCCCCAAGACAATCTTATCTGGAACAGTTTGCTAGCGCTCCAGTTTCAAGTATACTGCAGCCTTTAATTTAATCTAAACTCTCATGAAAAGTATGTTATAAACTACAGAAAGGATGTGTAAAATTTATTCACAGAAGCACTTTGTGTGTATGTGTGTGTGTGACAGAGAGAGAGCTTTCAAGACATCTAATTGTGACAGATTAGATGAATGCTTCTCGAAAAGATTCTGTTTCCCAGTGCCAGACTGCAGAAGTCTGCAAGTATGTCATTGTGGAAGAGAAATGACAAATTTTCCCTGACAACTAATTACATTTGTTTCTGCCAACAGACAACAGCAAACATAAGTGATATGTTCCCAAAGATTCATTTCTAAGCCATCATAGGCGTGTGCTGTCTACATGATCCAGTTATTGTAGTTTTTTTAAATGACTGTTTGCTATTTTCAGTACAATTGGTACTGCTTTCTCTCTGAGATGTGAAACCTGTGACATTTTACATATCCATGGAGCAGCCCATGAAGGAAAACTGAACTAAGCCAAAAGCTCACTTTGTAGGACTGCAAGGAATCATCATCATTCCATCTATTACCAGCAAATGTGGGCAGCTGAAAAATTATAGGGCTGGAAGTGAAACACAGCAACCCAAAAATGCAGTAGTGATTTCTAGGTACTTAGATGTGTATGTTCCTAAATTAAAGGAAAAACAAAAACTGAAACAATAAGAGATGAACAAGAACCTGTAAACATCTAAGATATACAGAATATTGCAATGATCTGAGCCTATCAATACAACAATTGAAGTTAATGTTGGACACGAAAGACAAGGGTTGCCTGTGCTGCTATTATTCTCTATATATTTTACTGGGCAGCCTTTCCCTCTATTATAAAGAGAGTAGGGAAAAGTGACTTTCAGCCATGTCCATAGTGGACAGCAGTAAAGAAAGCAAATCCTAAGGAAACAGTGTATTGAATGTTTAAGAACAGGAAATGGAAAGCAGTGGGAAGAAGGGAATGCAGTAGGACACTTTTACCTGTGGAGGAATTGTTTCCATGCCCCCCACAGATGTTGTAAACCATGGATAATAGTGAACACTATATATAGCATGGTCTCTGGCTCCATTTCTGGCAATGACATCATGGAAATATGTATTTCTGGGATTTTTCTTTTAATATGTTTAATATTTTCAGATCATGGATAAGTGAAACCACAGATACCAATCCCACAGATACAGGAATCCTACTGTAAACATATCAATTCTCAAAAATCGTTGCAATCAGTATCCTGAAATAGTGGTTTGGATGGGGAGAATGCATGCCCCAGTACTCTCACTGCATTATGCAAGGACTATGCCATCCTCATCCTATACAGGAAAAGCTAAGGTTTGGAACCATCACCCAGCTTCAAACATGCGCTTCACAGCTATATAATCAAAGAAAGTCTCAAATGGGTGGTAAAGAGGAAGTGTTCTCTTCCAATTTTTGTCCTTAACCCTCATGCACCAGAATAAAAAGCCTTGACGGATTCTGATGCATTTGCTCATATTGTGAGCATTTAAATGCATTTGCAAGTTAAAATTTGTATTATTTATTTATTTTATTAGATTTATACCCCGCCCATCTAGACAAATAGTATTAGCATCAGGGATAGGGTTAGCAGAATGAGTTAGCATATACTCCTTGCATTTCCTGAACCCATTCAGAGCTCCAAATGGGGCAACTCATGTTGACAACTGCAGCCTGTCACTTCTCCATGCTACTTCTATTAAGATGGAAAAGTGATTTGTGGCCATCATTTCTTCTTACTTATACCATAGGCATTCTGTACAGTATGGGGGTCTTGTGAAACATCCTTTCACTCTGACAGCCCTTCTTGGAATGCCCATCTAGACATGGATTACCATGGATTACAGA